TGGCTGGGGAATTCTGGGAGTTGAAGTCCGGACATCTTCAAGTTGCCAAGGTTGAGAAACACTGGTCTATAATCTTGCGAAGCCTCCTTGGATTAAGAATTAGCGCCTAGTCCCAGTCCATCCAGAGGCTGAATTCGCTCCTTTCCCCACTGTTGACTGAATAATTACTCAGCCTGCAATTAAAGTGGGCTGACTCCGTCTCTTCATTCGGCCTTTCCCAATCCCCGGAGTTTTTTTTTAGCAAGGTTGGGAAATCTTGCCGAAAACTGTAACGATGGTTTGCAGTGCCTATATTCCCACGATGCAGTAAGCACAAACAAGCCATTTTACGGCCCAGCATTTTGTGAGGCAATCAATCAAGCCAGCAAATATTGCAGGTGAAGTCTGGCTATATATCCTAGCGTGGTATAAGTAGCCCCCGACTTACAACAGTTCATTTAGTGACCAAAGTTTGCAACAGCACTGGAAAAAAGCAACTTATAACTATTTTCCACACTTAACAACGGTCACATCATCAAAATTCAGATGTTTGGTGTCTGGTTCACATTGATGACAGTCGTAGCATCCGGGATCTTTTGAAATTAGGGTTAAAACTCAGTTAAATTTAAAAAACTATCATGGTCAAACAACTTCTAAACCCAAAACTACAAAAACATTAAAGCCTCCAGAAGTTGTGAATGCTCCAACACTGGAAGTCTTTTAAGAAGATGTTGGATATCCATTTGTCTGAAGTGGTGTAGGGTTTCCTGGCTAAGCAGGGGGTTGGACTAGAAGACCTCCAAGGTCCCTTCCAACTCTGCTGTTCTATTCTAAACATTCGTTTTTTTATTAATTTTTTTTTGTTATTAAACACACATTAAAGCATTGGACACAGTATAATGGCCCTGGCAATGTCTTTGCCATACATACTAGAATATAAAGTTAAATATTATAATTATTATAAATATAATAGTTATATTATAATTATTAAAAATTATAAATATTGTACTATTATTTACAATTGGTCTCTTCAGTATTTACAAATATAAGGATGTCTTATTTCCATCTGTGTTGCTGTGTTGTTTCTTGTGTTATACATTTTCACTCTTATGATTTCATACATAATTCTAATCTCCATTCTATAAAACTTAAGTCATCCTCTTTTTGTTCCAACCATCGATAACATTTATCCCAGATCTTCTAATATTCTGATTCGTCTTTGTTCTTCGATTCCCACGCCAATTTATCCATTTCAGCACCAATCAGAATTTTCCTAACTACTTCCTCTTCTTGTGGAATTTCCCTGTTTTTTTCCAGTTTGGGGCAAAGACCATTCTTTGTATTATTAAGTAGATTACCTCCTTGTTTTTTTTAAAAAAACATTAAACATTCAAAATGAACCAAGAATTGGGTGGTTTTTGTTAATTAAAAAATGAACAAAAATTGGGTTTTCTGCCTCTGGGCAGAATTGCAAGGTGGGTTTCAGTCACGGACCCCCAACCTTTTTGGGTACCAGAGATCAGTTTGTTTAGAAAGATTTATCCGTGGAGGGGCCCTTTCGCGTGCTGCTGGCATCCCGTGGATGGGGCTTCGCTTGTTGGCACGACCAGGTTCCTGGCATGCCACGGACCAGTGCCAGTCCACGAACTGGGGGCTGGGGACCCCTGGGTTAAAGTTCTGTTGACCCTCCCAGCTTCCCTCCAGCACCGGATGCTTCCCTGGGACTGGATCTCCAGCTGGGCTGATGGCCTCTTCTCCTTCGCAGGTTTGCCCCCGTGGGTATCATGTCTCTGGTGGCCGGGAAGATTATGGAGATGGAGGACGTGGTGCTTCTCTTCACCAGCCTGGGCAAATACATCTGCTGCTGCCTGGTGGGCCACGCCATCCACGGGCTGCTGATTCTCCCAGTGATCTACCTCGTCTTAACCCGCCGGAACCCCTACCGCTTCCTGTGGGGCATCTTCACCCCCTTGGCCACCGCCTTCGGGACTTCCTCCAGGTATCCAGAGACCGCCAGAGGGGCAGGAGGTGGGCGGGATGGGTGGAGAACCATCCACGAACACGGGTTTACCGACAAAACGGCGAACGACAAAACCGCGTCCGACTAAACCGCGGGGACAAAACCGCGTGTTCTAAAGCGCTCCGACGAATGAGTGCTGAATCACGCCGACAGCGCGGCGACAGAAGCGCGCTGTAAACCTAAACCTAAACATAACCCTAACCCTAAACGTAACGCTAAGCCTAACCCTAAACCTAACCCTTACCTTAAGTTAAATTGGCTTTCTGTCGACGCGCTGTTGTCGGCGTGCTGTTGTCGGTGTGTTGATGACGTCGCGGTTTTAGCGACGCGGCTTAGTCAGGCGTGGTTTTGTCGTACACCTTTTTGTCGGGTCACGACGAACATGTCTGCTTGGGATGCAGGCTTCACGTCAAGACCCGTGGGAGATAATTGTTGGAGCTCGGGGTTGAAATGTGGGGACCTGGGTGCTCCCTCAGTTTGGGTTCTTTTTCTTGCAGGCATTTCATGACCCAACTAGGTAACAGCATCAGTGCTAGAAGGGGAAGATTGTGGACAGGAGAAAAAGAGGGAGGAAAGGGTGTGCTGTGTGCGGTTTTCTTGCAGGCGTTTCGTGACCCAACCAGATAACGTCATCGGGGCTCCAAGCGAATAGAGGTTGCTCTCTTAAGGCAAGCAACTTGTAAAGGAATAGAGAGCAAACCCTTCTCCTTTCTAGCACTGATGAGGTTACCTAGTTGGGTCATGAAACGTCTGCAAGAAAAAAAACAGATCACAGAATCCGCTCTCCTGGATGATTGTGATGGGTCCCAGATGTTGCTCGAAGAACAGATGACGGGGAGGGATGCCTTCGAAGGCAGGAGGAGAGGAGGCGGTATCCTTCCCATTTATTTATTTATTTTTATTTCCTTTATTTGTATGCCGCCCTTTTCCCTGGGGGGGCCTCAGGGCGGCTAACAATTAAAAAAGGGAGGGGGGGGGGAAAGACAAACAGTATTCCAATATGGAAACAATACAACATATTAAAAGAGAGCACAACA